CGCCTGGAGGTCAGAAAAGAACTTCTTGGTGGACACGAGAGATACAACTGGCAGTCAAACAGAAGAAGTCTAGATTTAAGAAATGACTTGGAAGCAAAAAGTCTTCTACTCGCATGCTGTATGTCGAAGTACGCAAGACAGCAGCGAAACTGGCGAAAGCCAAAGCTGATTAATCGAAGAAGTTCGGTGAGGTGATGGAGTCAAACTTTCAGACGACGAATGAGGTAGCTGATCCGCCAGCTTCGAAGTGGAAAGAAAGGCAGCCTAAGAGTCTTGAAAGACAAGCTTCGACGCCCTCTTACTGAGCATAAGGACATTCTTCAGCGGCGGAGAGAATACTTTGAGAAACTCTTTTACTTTGAGCAACCGTTGGAAGACGTCTGAAGAAAACATTAATCTTTCAGTTGATAAGGTGGCAGAAGATGTGGAATGTTTGAGGAGAGACTAGGCTACTGGAATCGAGGAAATCCGTCCTGAAATAAAGCAATAGACAAACAAAGCATTTGCTTTCTCACATGTGTTTGTGAAACTGCAATGGCTACGGGGAAGGTACCAACGGAATGAAGAACTTGGGTGATAGAACACCTGTACAAGAAGTCAAATCATGACCTTCGGAGTGACGTGATTCAGTTATCGTGGCATTATCTTACTGAGTCTCCCGGGCAAAATCTGGGTAGAGATGTTTGAATGCAGGTTCAGTTATATGGTCTACATGTGTTTGATTCACTGCGTTTAAAAAATTTCACATTAATTATTGACTAGTTGGGATCTGAAATTCATTGTGCCTCTTGTAATTATTAGAAAATTATTAAACTGCAATTTCTACTGACAGATGTAAGGCAGCGATGACTGTTTCGCTGCGGGATTCAAGGAGTAGTTGATCGGTTTTTCCCTCGATGCCCGTCAGACTTCAAGATGTTTGCCTAGTGCTCAAAGAATTTGAGCAGCTGGTGCGCAGCGTGGATTGTAACTTTCAAAAGCACTGAACATTAAGTGTGTACACTACAGACATAAGCGATGGTCGGTTTAAAACCATTAGTATTACCAATTATATATTAGTTATTACCGGCACTCTACAAACAAGGGAGAGAGAAGACTACTCGTAGAGGCTTGAGCAACAGCTGAACTGCGCGGAAATGCGGATGCTCAGATAGATGTGTGCTACCAGCAAAAAGTACCACATCCGTAATTTCGGAATGACTTTATAGGCTCTTGTTCATAGTGATATTTGCTTGGTAATATTTGAAACTGCTCTTTCGTTCTCACGTGGATTTCAAGTTATTTGGATTCAGTTTTTTGCTGGTACTATGAAAATTTTTCGGTAGTAGGTCTGTAGTGCGAAAGGTAATT